CCCCAAAACCCCAAAACCCCAAAACCCCAAAACCCCTTTTGGATGCTAAGTTATTGAAGCTTTGGAAAACATATTTTGCTATGATGGTAATGAATACTCATTATAAGTAAACCTAATTTGTTGCTCTTCCCGAGGGATTAGCTTTGCAGCTAAGTGTCCATATATCTCATCAGCAGCCATATCATAGTGATAAGGCTTTTGAGAAACCTTTATCTGCCATATTCCTGTGAATGAATCATCCTTATTGAAGAATCCGTCCTTTAGTCGAGCATTAATAATTTGGGAATCCGAGAAAATGTTTCATTTTGAGAGAAAACTTGTAAGGGCTCATAGTTCAACAGTAGCTTTTTCAAATAAGCTCTTTGCTTTGCAGAGATAACTGATTCCTTCTTTATAGATAGTTTTAATTTTGAATTCTTTCTTAAGTCTGACATCTCTTAAGAATTCAAATTGCTTCTTATTTGGAGACATTGAAGCAATAACCTGATCCATTTCTGTTAATCCATGCTCTTTGATAAAGCCTGGTTCTTCAAATTTTGAGATCCTCTGTAACTTCTTTATGAGACTGTAATCAGTGTTGTACACAGGCCCTAGCTCTTTCCAATAACTGAATCTCGGTGTTGGATAGGGATGGTTTATCAACATTTCAAATACCCTATCTAAAAAGTTTTGATGATTTTCCATAATTTTTAAGCCAGATTTTCGGAAATCTGTAGCAATAGCATCTTGCATTCCTTCCTTAGCCTGCATTTTAGTTGGATCTATGAATTTTTGTATCGTTTTATTTCCTAATGCGATCCATATCCTTCGCGAAACTTTGGGTCACTGAAGAAACATTCTCAAATTTCTCCCTTCTATATGCTATCAGTAAATTCTGAAGTCTGAAATTTTCTTTCTCAAGAGCTCAGATTTTATTCTGTAGCTCGACTAGGTAATTTTTTCTACGAATTCTGGAATTCTTAGCCCGAATCCGTCCTTTACGTCTCTTTTCTTCAATAGATAAGGATTCAGAAATATCACTTAAGTTCTCAAATCCTTCTCTGTTGACTTTCTTGATTTTGAAGACTTTTGAAAATGATGAAGACACGCTACTCTCTGGCTCTATTATGCACTTTAAAAATTTGGTATTTAATCATTGCAAAAATTGCTTACTAGTAGAATCAGGAGTATGCTGAAGTGATAGCATCTTCAAATACTAGAAAAAACTTACGGTATAGACTCTGGCTCTCTAAAGTTTCTGGCTTAAAGAGGTCATTCAGTGAAGGAAGTATGGGGCTGGGCCCTTCTAGCCTACCTCCTGCTCTGCTCTGTTTCATCTTATCCATTTATAAATTAATATAATCTCTTCCAATCTTTCTGAAATCCTGGGGTTTTGGGGTTTTGGGGTTTTGGGGTTTTGGGG